ACTTGACACCAAATTAGTCATTTTAATATACCTTATTATAAGAATGCTCTTTTAAATCAGTCATAATGGTACCCGACGGACATAGTGAATATGATATATGGTTGCCGGTGACTTTTGGTACTGAGCAAAATGATATAACATTGCTGTTAGTATAAAATTGCCAAATATCTATTAACAATTTCTTTTTTGCGGAAGAGCGGGTGCGGGCGCAAATTGCGTGCCCAAGCATATAGGAGTTTTATCCAATATTTATACAGTTGCAGGCTATATTTTATATCTTTCCTAGACTTTGAACAGATGCCCATATTTTATATTTTCTAGAAGTGCGTTCAGAAAGCAGTGGTCGCAAGGAACGCACGGCCTTTACAAAAGTCCAGATTCGTAGTTTGGAGGAAGAGTTTGCGAGAGCTAATTATCTCACAAGGTTGCGGCGCTACGAGATTGCAGTTGCTCTCAATCTAACTGAACGCCAGGTGAGTTGTTGCATTTTTTTTTTCAGCAACTTAGTGCATTATGTTTCCTACTTTCGGAAGGTATGTTGGGATGCCGTCGGTCCCTTTTGCATTTGCAGTCGTTAGGAACCATCAATCCGTAGGACTGGGCCCGCGAAGAGATGGCCTCTTCGGCCGTTTCCCCTATTCCATCCATAGTGAATTCCTGCACCCCAGCAGTGGGGACATTAATAGGCTGATGATTGGGATGGATGGAGGCCCCTACCTACATAGGCATTGATTTAAATTATAATCTCATTCCTTATTTTATAAAAGTGAAAGAAATGCATTCAGTCTTTTTTTTTCTTTTAAGTACAGTCGCCATCAGATATATCTGAGCATACAAGATGACCAAATACATCTGAACAGTTAAAATGTCAATAAGTTCTATACACTACAAGTGACCATAAAAAATATCTGATCATTCATTACTTCAATAATATCTGAGCAGATGCCTGTCAATAATATCTGAACATACAACTTTTCAAAAATATCTGAACAATTTTAATAGGACCTCTTAATTATTTATTTATAATAAGATGACGCTGGCAGTTAAACACTTTCCAGTTTTTATTCTTATCACCTCTGTCATGTGTCATGCACAAATAAATTCAAGCAGCTTGCTTACGTATTAGTTCATACCATAAATTAACTATAATTAATATGAGTTCGTACCGTATTGATGCGGAAATGAAACATAAAAAAAGATTCTATACCTACCCTTTCTTGTTAAGGAAACATTTTAAACTTTTCATAAAAATCTTACTTATATATTATTACTGCGGTGACGTACAAATTAATCAAATGAAATTGCAAATTTCGTTAAATATTATCCTATTACCTACTATTTAAAAAAAATGGTTGCCTGTAAAGTCGGTTTTACGGGCGAAGATTTTACGTGACAACGTCTTTTTCTCGGTAGAATATTTATTGATATGAATATAATTAAATTGCACAATAGGAACAAGGAATTGAATGAAAATAAGAATTGCACAAATTTTAACTATAGAAATATATTTTGTTTACTAAAACATTGTACATGTAAACTTAAACTTAACACGAGAGACTCATCGTAACGTTACCGAGCGTTACACTTTTTCATAAGTGACTCCCAGCCGCAACTTAATTTAAGACGTTGTCACGTCAATAATACAACTAAAAAATGATGGTTTATCCGTAAAATATATCGCCGATGAGCTAGGGATAGCCGTAAGTATCACGGAGAAAAAATGCTAAAAATCAATTGCCCACAAAACATGAAACTTTATTCACAAAGTATAAAATTGTATTTATTTCAGAGAAATACTGTATATTTATGGCTAGAAAGATGGCAGCAAGAAGAAACATTAAATAATCATGTTTCATTTGGTCGCCCGCGTATTACTACAAATAACCAAGATTTATAAACACTACACAATTTTCAAGCACATACGAAATATCCACTAGCACCATTAGAAGACGATTAAAAGAAGGAGGTTTAAAAAATAGAGTACCGGCAAGAAAACCAACTCTCACGCCAAGGCACAAAATGCAGCGGCTACAATTTGCAGCTAATTATTTAAATTTTAATTTTCAAAACGTTATCTTCATGGACGAAAAGGTTTTCTGCTCATCAGATAATGGGCGATTAAGTTTGTGGCGATCCGAAAACACACGTTACTTATAACAAAATGTGCTGCCTAATCGCCGGAGTGGACGTATTTCAATTGGAATTTGGGGATGGATGTGCAAAGATGGTCCTGGTGAGCTTGTGGAAATACGATAATATGTTATGTGACGTAATATGTGACGAATGAATGCAACGAATTATAAGGAACTTCTGGAAGATACTTTTCTTCCTACAGCTTAAGTTTTTTATCCAGAACAACAAATTACATTGCTTCAGCTCACAGCTCAGTACATAATGCTCGTACAGTACAGACATGGATTAATGAACAGAGAGAACTAACTTTAATCAAACTACCACCAAAAAGTCCAGACCTCAATCCCATCGAAAACCTTTGGGGAAAATGGTGCAAGAGTGTGATGGGAATCAATGTCGAACAACAGAAGCCTTAAGGCGACATGCAAATGATGTTTGGGAATCGTTCAGAGGTCGAGGTTTTTGTGAGAAGGTAGTTGGTTCCATGAGGAAACGTTTACAAGACATATTAAATGCAGAAGGAGGTTACACAAAATACTAATGTTTCATGAGTAGTATATAATTGGTCAGCCTTTAAATAATTTGGTCGGCACAAAAAGATTAAAATCAGGCAGCAGTCCTTGTTCGGCAAATAATTATATAATGGTCAAAAATTTAATATGAGAGTATACAAGATGGCTCATTTAAATGGGTCAGTATGGGAAAGTCTGAACTATAATATATACGAAGATCTGTTCTTAGGAACTATGTCTACATATAACTACATCGATTTTAATAAAAATTAAAACTGCATTCATACATTTAAGAAAAACCCTGTGGTCAGCTCGAGAATCGAACCCGGTCGTTTTGAAAAAAAAAACTAACACTTTAATTATTAACTCGTTTCATTTGGTCGCCCGCGTATTACTACAAATAACCAAGACATAGCTATTATAGCTAAAGCCAAAAATGACAGATTTATAAACACTACACAATTTTCAAGCACATTCGAAATATCCACTAGCACCATTAGAAGACGATTAAAAGAAGGAGGTTTAAAAAATAGAGTACCGGCAAGAAAACCAACTCTCACGCCAAGGCACAAAATGCAGCGGCTACAATTTGCAGCTAATTATTTAAATTTTAATTTTCAAAACGTTATTTTCATGGACGAAAAGGTTTTCTGCTCATCAGATAATGGGCGATTAAGTTTGTGGCGATCCGAAAACACACGTTACTTATAACAAAATGTGCTGCCTAATCGCCGGAGTGGACGTATTTCAATTGGAATTTGGGGATGGATGTGCAAAGATGGTCCTGGTGAGCTTGTGGAAATACGATAATATGTTATGTGACGTAATATGTGACGAATGAATGCAACGAATTATAAGGAACTTCTGGAAGATACTTTTCTTCCTACAGCTTAAGTTTTTTATCCAGAACAACAAATTACATTGCTTCAGCTCACAGCTCAGTACATAATGCTCGTACAGTACAGACATGGATTAATGAACAGAGAGAACTAACTTTAATCAAACTACCACCAAAAAGTCCAGACCTCAATCCCATCGAAAACCTTTGGGGAAAATGGTGCAAGAGTGTGATGGGAATCAATGTCGAACAACAGAAGCCTTAAGGCGACATGCAAATGATGTTTGGGAATCGTTCAGAGGTCGAGGTTTTTGTGAGAAGGTAGTTGGTTCCATGAGGAAACGTTTACAAGACATATTAAATGCAGAAGGAGGTTACACAAAATACTAATGTTTCATGAGTAGTATATAATTGGTCAGCCTTTAAATAATTTGGTCGGCACAAAAAGATTAAAATCAGGCAGCAGTCCTTGTTCGGCAAATAATTATATAATGGTCAAAAATTTAATATGAGAGTATACAAGATGGCTCATTTAAATGGGTCAGTATGGGAAAGTCTGAACTATAATATATACGAAGATCTGTTCTTAGGAACTATGTCTACATATAACTACATCGATTTTAATAAAAATTAAAACTGCATTCATACATTTAAGAAAAACCCTGTGGTCAGCTCGAGAATCGAACCCGGTCGTTTTGAAAAAAAAAACTAACACTATTTCCTATTTCTATTTATTAGTAAGATAAGTTACCTATACGTGTTAAATTTTGTATTAAAAAAACGGTGGTCACTTAGAACTTCTACTGAAATAATTTAAATTATGTGACAAAACTGCATTTTACTCATTTTAGACATCACGTTTAATAGAAACATTTACTGCTTCAGACCTACATAATCGATATTTAAATAGAAATAGTGTAAGTATTTTTTTTCAAAACGACCGGGTTTGATTCCCGTGCTGATCACAGGGTTTTTCTTAAATGTATGAATGCAGTTTTTATATTTATTAAAATATTGTGCCTAAGAACAGATCTTCATATATATTATAGTTTCAGACTTTCCCATCCTGACCCATTTCAATAAGCCAACCTGTATAATGAGAGTGGAGGTTTACCCGGGGAGAGGAAGACCGAAGAAAAGATGGATAGATTGTGTGAACGAGGACATGGCCAGTAAGGGAGTGAGTGTTGATATTGCGAGTGATAGAGGAGAATGGAAGCGGAAGACATGTTGCGCCGACCACAAATAGAATTGGGAAAAGGGCATGCAAATGATGATGGTCAAAAATGAAATCATAAAAAGGCAGCTTACAATAACATGGATCTGCATGATTTCATAATCCATATCTGTACTGTAGATTGGTTAGCAGAAAACATATTATAAGCAGTATATTTGAATAGTATGCATATTTAAAAACCAGTCAAGTGCGACTCGGACTCGCGCACGAAGGGTTCCGTACCATTATCTAAATAAATATTTTTATATTGAATTAAATGTAAATTGCGGTTGTGTTTTTATAAAAAAACAAATTACTTGATCTCGTTCAAATCAACTGTTGCTAGAAGATTGCATGGTAATGTACAGACACGAGCTATAATCTAGGCCCCACCTTTGAATATCGTGTAGCAATCTGCTGCAAGCTGTATAAAGCTAATATTTTAATGCAACGTCAATGTCATAATGTTTACCATTGACAACTTTACGTTTCTAGGGGCAACCATGCAATTACGTCATCTGAAGCGACAGCAAAAGATCATTTCCGATGTTATGTTATGTTTCCGAATTATACTTTGTAAAAATGTCACATTAAAGAAAACATTCTTCACTGACACTGACACGAAATAGTATTTTGTAAAGAGGTTATCATTTCAAGGGTCGATTCATTATGACATTATGTCATCAAAACACTATCAAACTAAAATTTCGACCTTATTGCATTATGAATTCTAACAACATTTAGTGGAAATGGGTCCCATATTAAATTTATTTACACGTAAAGATTTGATAAAAAAAAATTCTAAGTCCATACGTTTTTTTTTCTATTTTTGCATGAATATCGTTTTTTTGCCATTTGGCTATGGAGCTATGGAACTAAAAATGGTGAGCAAAATAACTAGTTGGTCTGCGTTTTTGTTGAAAAGTCGACAATATACGTTACGGCCGTCTACGTCTGTTAGAAATTCCCGTCTAAACGGGCATTGATAATATTGGGAAATTATTAAGCTAATAATAATACACTAATTTCAAGATCCTTACTAATTGCCTGATAAGTTTTAATTTGATAAGAATAAAACATTTTGTTACTATTTAATTTTAAACTCATTGTATCAGAAGTTGCTTTTTTTTTATTTCGATCTCGATTATAATTTTATTATAATAATAAATACTTAAGCTTAAGCATCTACTGAGGTAGGTACCAAGTTAATACGTTTACATTTTTTGATTATTTAACTCAATAAAAATTTATAAGAATTAAAATTGTTTTTTATTAATTTTCACTTTTATAAATAATACATACCCAAACCAAACAAACACATCCACTCAGACAGTAAATAAATTTTTTGTAAGGATGGCGCCCAGTTTGAGCATGACAAGTACAGAATTCCATTTTCCACTGCAATGGAAATAGTGGGACAAATGTTTCCTCCAAATTATTACTTATTTCTATTGCGGTTAAAAAACGCAGTTGTCTTATTTTTAAATAAATTTCTAAGGAGATATTGAGAATTTAATCTATAGAATAAAATAAAAACAACTTCTCGTTAATTATAAAAAATAAATAGAGAAAAAATTAGGCATCTTCCATTTCTACTACTCGTGGTGACCTACACGAATGATTTTCTGATAGATTTTTATTCCCTTCTCATCGTATTTATTCCTTATATTTAGCCTTTGTTTTTAGTTCATCCTTTCAATCACGCAGTAACAAAATATGTAAGCCCAGTGCATGATCTGCGTAGATACATAATCATTGACGTGTTCAGATATTTTTGAAAAGTTGTATGTTCAGATATTATTGACAGGCATCTGCTCAGATATTATTGAAGTAATGAATGTTCAGATATTTATGGTCACTTGTAGCGTATAGAACTTAATGACATTTTAACTGTTCAGATGTATTTGGTCACCTTGTATGCTCAGATATATCTGATGGCGACTGTACCATGAAAATTTTTGTGGTCCTTCGAGCGACTCAAGTATAGTTCGTAGCTCTCACGCATTGTTAACCCAAGAAGTATTCTTTTGTTGAAAGGTAAAAGTGTGGTTCCAAAATCGAAGAATGAAGTGGAAACGTACCAAAGGAGCATCTAAACACAACAAAAGAAGGGAACCTGCCATTAAATCGGACGGTTAAAATAGTCTACCAATTGAAATATTGTTATAAGTAGCACGCGAGAGAGCCTTTTTGGCAACTTGTATTTAAACAGTAATGATAATATGTATAAATATTAATATCATATTATAAATGTACACCAAAGAATAAATTATTCTTTGAAGTTATTTGTATAAAGGTGCTCGCTCACTGGGAGCATTAGTCTGTGATGTAACGTTACAGTTTTGAGCATTACACCAGTGATAGAGGAGAACCGAGTGTAGTGTGCAACGTGTAATGATACAATCGCTCGCTCGCTCAAAATGGAATCAAAATGTTACATTACAGGCGAATTCTTGTTTGTCAGGGAGGCAGTATTGTAACGTAATGCTCGAATTTAAAAGGTTACATTACAAGCCGGTGAAGCACCTTAACATTTTAAATACATTATTGAAAACAAAACCTTATTTAAATTTGCGAGTTGTGTTTATGTATTTCAAGCACATCAATAATTATTAAATTAAATCGATAACTATATATACCTATTTTAATAAGTCTCAAATGTTTTCTTAGAGTAGCTTTGTATAGTTTGTTTTTTGTATTAAATAATATTCATTTGTGGTTATGAAATCAAAGGAATGTATTAAGTTATTAATTATTAAAGAACTTGTGACATTGTTAAGGTGCATACACACATGCCGCCGGCTTTTAGCATGCCTTGCCGCTAGCCTGTAGTTGCAATTTTCTCAGCAGTGTTTCGACTCATATCAAAGTAAGCGGTATACGTAGGATTGAAATATGTAGGATTTTAATAATTATCATTGCATGTTTTGCATTTATGTTATACGTTATTATTTACAAAAATAAACCCAAGCCAATTGCCACCGTAAATAAAAGCCACGGCATCGCCAATTAAAGCCGCGCGTTCCGGCCGCCAGGCATGTGTGGATGCGCTATAACGCAGTATACATGGGGAATATGTTTAGTATTAAAAATTAATATAAAAAAAAAACAAGTTCAGGAGATAAGGATATGTTTATTAGACAATTCATACCTCCGGCACGTAGCGAGCGACATAGCGTGCCGAGCATAAAACTAAAAAAAAATTATAATATTGTATATTAACACACTATCTTTGGAAGAAACTAAACATCCGGGCTATAAAGGCCTACAATTTGTTCAAAACTTGTGAGCAATACACCACAAATGATGAAAACCGATGAAAAATAAAGAAACAGTGATGAAACTTCCAAATAGTAAAATAGTACTAGCAGTATTTATAACATTCAAATTTCTCTGCTAAGACGATGACTTTTAAATAATATCAACATGAGCATTATCTATCGTATAAAAAGCATCGCCTTAACAAAGCATTATTTTATTTTTCTGTACAACATCTAAAGTTAACATTGGACCGTAATCTATCCGTGGACCAAAATAAAATACTAGTAATTCTCAACAATAGATATATAATATGTATTTTAAACGTACAATTTTCAACCATGAGCTTTACGAAATATAAAATCGGAACTCCTCATGTGGTTACTTCATGTGGATTGTATTATGTACAGGGCCAGTGCCGTGCAGTGTTATAATTATTATTAAAACAACTATACCTTTGTTAGGACATTTTCAATCATTTTTTTATGATTGTCCAATGTACCACAATTATAAGTTTGGTACAATGTCAATATTAAGATCATTATAATATTAAGTGGTCTGTTTTAATTGTAATATTATGTATGCGTAATAAAGCTACATATACTTATTAAGGACCAATGTAGTTCTGCATTAAGGCTAGCTTTACAAAAATGACATGTAAATTGTGATGACATTTTATTCAATAAAAATTTACTTCTGAAAATGATGTTTCCCTTCAATGTGAAAATGTTATTATGTAGTTTTTTTTGGTAGTTTTAGTGTTCTGTTACATATAAATATTCATGAGTTATGTATGATGATGTCTTACTTACAACAATGGAAAAATATGCTCCAGTGATATTCAAACTATTAATTAACGCTATACAACTATACATAATAGTAATTGTCTATTTTCACGCAAATGATACGATAGGTCACAAACAAACCATTATGATCTGTGAATTGTTTTAAAATAAATTATAAATGCGTTATCCAACCTGACTAGAGAATTTTGATTTTTTTTTTAAATTTTGCAATGATGTTCGGATTATATTGATTAATGTATGGTGTCATATAAATTGGCAGTAGTCTTAGAAATTTACTAAATGTGAATACTATATTAAAATAGGCAAATATGGAGGCAAGCTCAAATGTCTTTTATTTCGAATATTAATTAAAATTATTCTGTCAGAAGTCCAAGAGTAGGTCTGTTGAACAGTACATATAAGTTTATGTTCTCATTTAGTAAGAAAGAGTTATCAAAAAACAGTATAAGACGAAAGGTTTTTTTCACAAAACTAAAACTAAAAACATATGAAATGTTATATAAATTATAATAGATACAATTATCATGATGAAATAAAATATAGAATAAGAACAGATAAATTTGTTACAAAATATATTTTTAATATAATGAGGCTCAACATACATTGCTCCAATATCTTAGTTACATGATCTCACAATACATAATGTAATAAGTTAACAAACTAATATTAGGTTGTGCTGATGCTAATAAGACATTTCAGAACGAATAATCGAATGAGTCAGAGCGGTGTTAACATATAACACAGACAAAAAAACCACCTACGTATCATTTGCACAAATAAAAAATAAAACCTAATATTTGAGAGTAATACAATAATATATTTAACACAATCCTTGTCACCTTTATTCACAGCGCGTTTAAATGTCCAACTTCCTACCCTAGTATATACACAGTATATAATTATTAAGGCTCAACCGGTGTTCTCACTTAACATATTGCATTACGCCTCAGTATCACTCACACTCACTCGCGTCCACCGCTGAGGTTCACTAAACACAAGCCCATATGAAAATAGAGGATTTTTTTTTCAATCAATAATAATAATTTAAGTGGGGGGTCATAAATAGTTTTTTCACACATGTCTGGAAAGCGAACTCACTACACTTTTGAACCGATCACACACACTTCACTGAATCGGGGTAAGCGTAGCAGTCGCTTGCGGCCGTCGCTAAACGACCACGAATATGAGGCTTCGTTATGGACGCTGGATATCCGTATTCTGGAGCAAAGCTTGAGAAGGAACCGCACTATTTGTCGTCACTACTATATTCTGGGGAATGCTCGTCATAACCGTCTGCGGGATCACAGTCAGAGATTTGGGGATCTTCGGCATGATCACATGTCCCGGTGCAACTATTGGTATATTCTGGTTAAGTACTGTCTCGCTGGTTATAGAAACCGCTGGGCCTAATTGTGGTATTTTCAAGGGTGCGGTGACGAGAAGAGACGGTGATGTCACAGCCGGGGTAGTGATAGTCTGTGACGTCACAGTGGCAGTCTTCGGCGGTATCGGAGCTATTGTGATGTTCTTGAGGCCGACGTTTTTGAGTATGTTCGCGGCGTTTGTTCCGATTTGTCCCAATTCGGGCATGTCTCGTATTTTGTCTTTGTCTTCGGCGGGTATGTTTTGTAATACGGTGCCGCCATTTCCGAGCATAGTGGAAGGCTGTATTTCGGTGACGACGGTGGTGTCTTCTGTAGAAGGCCGTTTGGTTTTCGCTTCGCCGTCTTGGAGTTGTTGAAGTTTCTCTCTTCGCATGACGCACATTTTGTTGTAGTCTTGTAAGGTTATGTGGTATCGTTTGCCGGAAGACATCACTTGAACGAGACTGGGCAGTGTTCGTCCGTCGACGGCTACTTGGGTTGGCTCTCTGGCAATCTTTGCTAGGTTCTCCTGAAATTATTTTGGACAGTTCATTAAAAAATCCTAACAATATAGTTGGTTTAGGCCAACAAATATTCAAGACAGTGTAAACATTGGTATTAAACAATATAATAGTTACTAGTTTAGAATGTAAGATTTTTTTTTTTTAAATTTGGTAATTATTAATTTACATGACGATTCAAAAAGTGTGTCCAGTTGAAAGAGACAAGGTCTAATACCTTGTAATAACATTGAGAATATACAACAGAATATAAAATTAATGTAGGAAAGGTGTAGATATAGTTTAGTTACTAAGCAAATTTTTATTTTTCAATAACAAATAGGATAGAAAGGATAGGAGTAACAAATTAGTAGTAGAAAGAGCTGTTCTAAATCATTCTTAAAATTACTGTAAAGGTATGGAAGAAAAAGTACAATGGGTAAAAGATATTAATAAGAAAATTTGAACAAAATACATACCGCAGTTATAGGCATCAGTGTAGGACGCCACGGTTTACTGGTCGCCTTTTGCTTCTTAGGCGTTTCTGACTTTGGCGTTTCTTTCTTTTCTTTAGGTGGTTCCATCTTCGGGGAATCGAACTTAGGCACCGGGGCAGCGGCCACTTCAGTAGGATCAGACGCACAAACACCTTTAACCAACTGTTGAATATTATGCAAAACATTCTGGATCGCTTTACGACCTTGTGCATTTGGAGTATTGATCGCTATAAGCTCAGGAGGCAAAGGTTTTGATTTAGATTTTTCACCAGTCTTAGGAGTCTTAGGCTTCGGTAAGATACCAGGGGGAGGCATGAACTTCTTCGGATCTTTATCGCTTTCGGAAGTCTGATTAGATTTAAGCAAACTCTTGCCATTCATCGAAGGCTTCTTCCTGTATTCGATGAGACTGCTTATAGACTGATCTGGGCGTTTCGGCGTATCGTTCGGTATATTATCGTACGCTCGCAATCGGCTTTGTACCGATTCACTGTAATTCGCCGCGTGGGGTGTCGCATTATGTGATAAAACCAAATCACCGCTTCGGAAATATTTTTCAAGCAACACCAGATGTCTCAGGAAACTTGACTGATTCCCATAAGGTCGTTGCAGTTCGTTCCATAGACGTTTCGTGTCATTGTCGTACTGAATCACGGTATTACATTTCTCCCAGCCTTCCGGAGTCACACCTTTCACGTTGTTAAACTCAATGTTGCATTGCAAATTCATTTCTTCCTCCCCCGGGAACAACTCTCTGACTGATATTGAAGGATTTGTCTCCAATCTCTTCACGGGATTTGAGTATTTCACTTCGTTGCTTTTCTTGGGCTCCTTTTCCCCAGTCAACTTCTTGGAGAGTTCGCTCAGATTCTTCTTGACTTGAGTGAAGCTTTCTGACATTTGCCACTTGTTTTTAAGCGTATTAATATCTGCGGGTTTCTTGGTTGGTATACTTTCTATTGTGCATTCTTCATTGAACGACATATTCTTGAGAGCGGGCACGGAGCCGTCTTTAGGTTTCTCAGCATCGAAAACTTCGAGGTCCTCTTTCCTGTTAACCTTATCTTTATTCGTCACCATTTGTCCTAATTTGTGTAATCTTTTAGCGTTCTTATCGCTAATCCTATGCTGTTGTCCAGGCTTGTGAATACCAGACATTGTCTGCAGTTTCATTATGTTCTTCTGCTTTTGTGTAAGATTGATATTCTTCTGTAGGAACTGTGCGGGGTTGTTTTGCTTCTGTAATAGATACTGTAGTTCAGTCTGTTTGTCTAATGGTATGAGTGGTGCGTCCAAATCCATCATTTCAGATTCTGAGCCATCGCTTTCTTTGGGTTCGTTGGTAGTGGGTTTTATAGCGCCCGGTACCAAGATTTTATTTGAGGATATGAGGCTTTCTATATCTTCTTCGATGGGTTGTGCTGGTTTTTGACTAATCGCTTCATTGCTTTCTTCCTTCATTTTTTCTGGGGAACCCTCGTCATGTGGTGTGGTTCTCTCAGAGGATTCACTAGCATCTGTCTTTTCAGGATCGGTAGATTTCCTTTGTTTAGATTTGGTGCGTTGTTTTCTCTTCTGTTTGCTGTTTAAGAGGCTCTCCTCTTGCATTATTGATTCTTCCGGTTCGTTTTCATTTTCTGGTGGCTGTTCAATGTTGTACATCTGAAGTAGCCTGGAAATAAAATTATTAGTTATAAAACTATTTAAACTTTTTTTATTACACTACCAAAATTGCGTCCATAGCTATTGAAGAGAGTGGTGGTATATCAAAATGCATTTCAAAAAATTCAATGAATATGGTTTATCTATTTAATAAGTAATATTTCTAGCATTTTAAAAAAAAATTCATCTTTAGAATGCTAGTAAAATAGACTTTATTTTAGTGAGTTAAAGTTCACACATGCAAAGTTACTAAACAGCTAATAATGGTCAAGTAAAATTCCTTACTTGCGTCTATATCCTTTGGCTTTCGGTTCCTGGTGTCCGGATCGCTGCAGCATGGTGCAGTAGACGCGGCACACTTTGCATAGCAACGGCCTTTCGTTGAATTGTACCGGAATACCCGCTTCACGTAGGTGCGGATTGATCTCCATGTATCCCTGAGATAGTTTATTTATTCATTTATTAGGGCTGCTAACAGCTTATGAACATTAACATAACAGCAAAAAACATTACAAAAAGCTATTGACAATATAGAAATTTGTATTGTACCTATATCAGACTAAACAAAATCACAGAAGTATCAATTATATATTAAAGTCAGTTTGTCATAACAGTTTTACATGAAATGTTAGTAGGAAAAGAAAATATCAACTATTACAATAAGTACCTTACACAATAACTAATTAATCACAACAAACTCTTGTTTACAGTTTTGATGGTATTATAGAAGATATCAATGCTGGCGTCAGCTTCATTAAGGGCCGAAGAAACACTAAAATGAAAAATTTGTCTATAATTTGTGTGGACAGAAGTTACTATTATAAGTGTTGGTGATTCCTCCTGCGATACTACTCTTCTACGTTTTATAGAGCAACTAAACATGTAACACAATTTTGCAGTGAGTATTTTGCTAGAGCTCCATAGGGTAGCAGAATGCTGTTAAAGTTGGTAATTTAAGAGTGGATGTATGTCAATCAGATTAGTCTCAGTAGAAGGGTTAGTATTTCGATGTTAAGTTATGCTCTATTTACTTCCTCTGTGACAAAAGGTAAACAAATAAAAGAATATTTCATTTTTTTTATCGAGAGTAAAGATGGCGAGTGTAACCAGTGATTATAAAATTTGACATTTCAAAGTAAATTATTTACTTTGTCTCTACTCTTTAACTTAGTAGTATTATAATGCATTCAAAGTTTTTTTTAATATCACATTTTTCGACCTATTAAAAACCTTTTTATGGTGTTTTTTTTATTTTTTAAGCATTTCACTGCTTGCGTTTAAATCTAAAGAAAATTTTACTAGAAAAAATTCCACGCGGACCAGGCAGCAGACGAGACTCGAACCCGCACCTTTTGCTATCCGGGCGAATGCACTGACCATTATGCTACCGCGGCCCTGACGGCCGTGTCGAATTTTCTCAGCCTTAGGCTGCCTTGCAGCGCCATCTCTTCGCATTGTAGGAAACCCACAATGTCAAATGAATTCCTTTACAAGTATTAAACGTTTGAAGGAAGAAATAGCAATTATAGTTATGTTTTTATATTTTAAGCATTTAACTGCTAGACGTTTTATGTTTACACATCGCCGTTCGGGCGTTTTTGATGCACTTTTGATTGGCGATTGGAAGTGTACTTGTTTTCATACGTCAATGTTGTCCAAAGATAAATTAACGGTAACAACATAGTGGGAACGCGTTCTAACACAATGAAAATGTTGACGTTTCCATACAAGGTTAGTAGTATCTATAAAATGTTAGTGATAATTTGACAAAAAAAAATTCGTAGATGTATCTATAGTCTAAAAAAATAGTCAAAGTAATTAGGTATACACCCCGGAAAATTTCTTGAGCAACGACCAACGACAAGGAAGCCTGCGCAGAAGCAATTTTACATACAAAAGCGCAAGTTTATTTGCCGCGACATATTCAGGGTTAATTTTAAAACACCAACAACCTCTTAGGGGGTGTTTCTACCTATCAACAGGAACAACTTTTATAATGGGACTAGAGTTGAAAAGTTTCGAGGTAACTTACCAAAATTAGGTAATTTAAGTAACTTTCAAAAATTATGATTTTACTTATAAATGCTCAACAGCAGCTTATTTTAAATGCTTTTGTCTTCTTTATATTAAACTCCAAGCGAATTTCAGCGACAATACTCTGTAAGCTAAAAAATGGTGGTGAACCATTGTTTGGCTTTGTTTGTAATTGTAGATTTGTGCAATTTGTATGCATTTGTTTTTATATGCAGTTTGTTTATTATTTACATAGAAATAAGTATGTTTCTGGTATAGTTTGACTCTTGGGGAATATGAGTGGTTTTAGATTTTTTTAAGTGCAGGGTATACGAATTCAATGTTAGTTTAAGTAAAAATATATTTTTTGAAAACTTTCAGGAAAATTTCGCGAAACTTACCATCGAAGAGGAAACTTTCGAGGTAATTTTCAATGCTCAATGGGATCAACTCTGAAATCGCCAAATAAATCTGCTGTTTCATATAAAAGTGCATCAGCTAATCGGCCGAAGTGTATGAAACAGCTGTTTTTTTTTCGCGAATTCAGAGATGATCCCATAATAAAAGTTGTTCCTGTTGACGGGTAGAATCACCCCCTAAGAGGTTGTTGGTGTTTTAAAATTAACCCTGTATAAAACTGTAGGAAGGGGAAGATCTTCCTCCGAGCTAGGTGATGGTAGCTTGGGGGCCGCGGCCCGACTGATGTTGGGCGGGCATCGTATATATGGCCTCAAGGCAGTCTTAGCCTCCAAACTTCTCTTGCGCGATGTAGGCTTCCATACGTTGTAAGCGCAGTGCCGGTAGCGCCATCTCTTGAGGAGCCGAGTGACTATTTCCTCCATGTTGATTATATGTGGGGGGCATGTAGATGTCGCCGGCACAAAACAATTACATATTTTGCGTACTCACATGTATGAGGTGTATGTTATGGTGTTTGGTGACCCGTCGTCGGCACAGGGCGCACGACATAAGGGGCGCAAGCGCACGGTGATGCTCCCCGCAGAGGGGGATCGTGTGTAAGCCGGGATAGTCGCATTTCAATTTTACCTACGCAAAAAACAGTCGAGTCTTTTACATTCAAGAATAACACACACACCTTCATCATAGTCATCATCATCATCAGCCTATTAATGTCCCCACTGCTGGGGCACAGGCCTTCCCTATAGATGCAATAGAGAGATTGGGCCATGACCCACCACACGGGTCTCGTACGGATTGGCGGCTGTTAACGACTGCAGATGCAGCCGAGACCAACGGCTTAACGTGTCTTCCGAAGCTCGGAGGAACTCGAAATAGAAGATTTTTGGTCACCCATCCAATGACCGATCACTACGAAAGTTCAACTTCAACGATCTCGAACTTGTCATAAAAATGCCAGATGAAGCAATACCCTTGCCCCTCGACGGGGGTGATTTTTGTACGTGTTTCCATGGGACTCGGAAAGCAAAAACTTGTTGATGCAAACAAATGTGTTGTGTAGTGAGGTTTAATACTTTAGTAAATAATAGTTAAAGAGCTCGATGGCGCAGATGATTAGCGCGTTGGGCCTGCGATCGTGGAAGTTAAGCAACTTTCGCAATGGTTGGTCATTGGATGGGTGTCCAAAAACTTATTATCTCGAGGTTCTACGTGCTTTGGATGGTACTTTAAGCCGTTGGTCCCGGCTGCCTCTGCAGTCGTTAGCACCCGAAAAAAACGCACTGGGCCCGCGTGATGGGTCATGGCCCAATCTCCCTATTTCATCGAATCACACTATACTTCAATAATAGCAACTATATGTGAGATCATATCTTTAGAACGATTCCAGTTACAACAAATTACAATTACAAATTCTTTATTTGATACAATAATTCAGCTGACATGCTTTGTCCTCTTAGTAATTGCTTAAAAAAAGGTATTGAATGAATGTAAATTTTCAGGAAATGTTGATTTTATGGTGGACCCACACTGCAAAATTAGACTCTAGCTATAAAATGCCACGTCAAATACATAGTAAATGTGTCAAGTTTTGACAACTGGTTATATTTTTCTATAAGATTTCACTATAGCCCAATTTTACTACAGATAAAACAATGCGGCCTTACGACTGATTTCAATAATCAACCTCCAGTAAAAGGTAACGATAATCTGGTTCCGTTACTTAGCAACAGTTGTCTTTATAGTCTTAATAATAAAATAAATAATAAATATCTTAGCAACAAAGCACTAGTAAGCCTACCTCTTACAGGAGTTTGGTTATTGAAACTGGCCATTAGGCTTTAATATGACATTATGACGGCTAACTTTAATGTAAGTTGGTGCAACTCACGGTTATGGCGCGATTACACTTGGTCGTCAGCCCGAATACGAGTGCCAATGGAATTCGGGTTAACGACTAAGTGTAAATGAACGGAGTCGAGTACGCCCGTATTCGGGTAGATATCCTTTTGTTTACCCGACACCGTCTACCAGTGTAAATATTTCTTTGGGTGCACGAAAGACATAACTCGAATTCGGACACCCAAGGCAATATTTACAATGGAATACGGGCTAACGACCAAATGTAATTGCGGCATTAGAAAGTTTCCTTTAAAGATTAACGCTTGTGTCCCACACTAAATCTATACATATAATAAAATGGTAGGAAAACCAAAACATTGAATTTTTTTTAAAAGAATACTTGGGGTGTGATCTACAATCGATACCGAAGCCAAAAATATAGTTTTTAGAATTTTTGTCTGTTTGTCTGTATGTATGTCCGGATAAACTCAAAAAGTACTGCATGGATTTACTTCAAATTTGGCACGAATATTATTAAGAAGTCGGGTCAACATATTATAGGCTACATATTATCACGCTATCACCTACGAGGAACGAGCAGTGAACCTTTATTTCTAACTTCTTTCTACGCGTACGAAGTCGCGGGCGGCCGCTAGCCAGTAATAAAATTCCGGTCGTACTAACCAGTCTATTGACACTGGTCCGCATCTTGATGAGCCATTTGCGTCGTATGGAGTGGTCAGCGGGAGTTATACAATTCTCCGCGTGACATGTAGCCGGCCGAGCCGGGGCTTCTTCCTCACTCTCAGATTCCAATGACGGCGATGCAGGTTTTTCAGCCTCCCTGCTACTGATAAAACAAAGAGTGAAACAATGGTTAAAAACCGGCCAAGTGCGAGTCGGACTCTGCGCGAGTCCGTACAAACCTGATTTTTGAAAAATATTTTTTATTAAATGATATAACTTAAAATATACGGTTTTACAAAAGGACTTATCTACAGGTAGAAGCCTGCTGCAAAATCCGAGGACTGCCGACTTTCTGCAGGAGATGGGATGGCAGGACTATGCCATTCCTCACGCAAATAGGCACATGGTGTTGAGTTGAAAAAGCCCGCCGTACTACAACTACTACAGTACAAGCACTAATGCAAGAAGTAATGCAATGACGTTTAAGCTTACACTTCCGCATAGACTTAACGTATTACTCAATTAAAAAGTATTAGTGGCGTGTTAGGAGGTTGCATTTGACATTAGGTCGCTTTTTGATTCGGTATTGTAAAGGTAACCAAGGTGTGTTGAGTTGAAAAAGCCCGCCGTACTACAACTACTACAGTACAAGCACTAATGCAAGTAGTAATGCAATAACGTTTAAGCTTACAATTCCGCATAGATTTGACGTATTACTCAATTAAAAAGTATTAGTGGCGTGTTAGGAGGTTGCATTTGACATTAGGTCGCTTTTTGATTCGGTATTGTAAAGGTAACCAAGGTATCCACAAGGCGTACGAAGATATCCAATTTGACGTTTATATGGTGGTACGCATGCTGTTCGTTCAGAGCACCATATAGCATCATATATTAGTCCTTTTTTGGTATATATGTAAAAAAAGGATAACTATATGAGTCGACTTCATTAGTTGAATATAAAATCCTTCTATGCTTTAGTTCTTTTTTGAGTTTTATTTCGCTTTCGATTCGAATAACCATCTTTGTTTGATTTTTAAGATGTTTGATTATGAGAATATTTTATTGCCACTGGTAGGTTACACCAAGTATATAGTCCCAAATTGAGTATAAGTTTTTATGCTTCTCAATGGTTGGTCATTGGATGGATGACCAAAAACTTTTAACCCTTAGCTCCTCCGTGCTTTGGAAGGCACGTTAAGCCACTGGTCACGCCTGCGTCTGCAGTTGTAATTCCCACCAATCCACACTGGGCCGGCGTGGTGGATCATAGTCTAATCTCCCTATTCCATGTAACTGGAATAGGGAAGGCCTGTGCCCCAGCAGTGGGGATATTAATTTGTTGTGATGATGATTTATGTTTATGTATCAGTAACGATAACGCCAGAGCAAGGGGAGCTCCCTCCACCAAGCCTTCAACTACTGACCTGACTGCGCTGTTGGCATTATAGGAACCCTGACTGGTCATTTTCCCCTAAACAAACACCTATACAATAGGAGTTACAGATAGCTCCCTATGCAGAGGATGCATGGAGACAGAAGAAACGCCGAAGCATGTCATCATGGAATGCAGGAGTGTGCCCGAACAACGGGCACGACTTCTTCAATCGCCAGCATTGCTTCCGGAAGCCTGCAGCAGTCTTCCAAAGGCTGTTTTTCCTCGGGACTAACCTAGGTTGGCTGGAGTAAACGGAATGTTTCGAGACACGCACAATGGTCCAATAATTAGGATTAAGTGCGGAAATCGCCCTGGAAAACTTAAACTATCCGACTGCGCATACTAACATGATTATGTTAAGAAAATTGTTACTAACATATATGAGACCATGTCTTGAAATAAAAACATTTTATTTTATTTTGTTTATAATAAGAAGTAACTCACGTATTGAACGGCGGCGATGGCAGCAAGATCCCAGCGCCGGGCTCCGGTTGTTTGCCCAGGGGACGTTTCCTGTACGAAGGACAGTTTGCTCTTCTATCGACATGTCTGTAGCACGCGTCGCACAGGCAGCTGTCAATCGTCAACTTTTCTTCGTCTGTTTTCAAGAGAAATGCACCCTATACTATCACTTACTCTTTCCACATGGTTATTCATATTTTGCTATTTGTTAATTTGACAGCAACTTGGCCTTACCATGTTCTATTGATAATGAAAAGAAGAGACTGCTTTCTTGACAAATAGCAAATACGAGCAGTTGTATTTAAGACTAGCGGCCGCCCGCGACTTCGTTCGCGTGGAGTTAGTTATTTGCACATACTTTTTGACCCCATAAGGGTTTATTTCTAAAGATACATTATTGGTACACCTCTACACCATCTATAGAGCATACATGTTAAATTTCAAGTCTCTAACTTCAAAAACATAGGACTTCCAACCCCCGTTTTACCCCCTTAGGGGTGGAGTTTCGTGATAATATATAATGTAGCCTATATGTTGACCCGACTTCTTAATAATATTCGTGCCAAATTTCAAGTAAATCCATGCAGTACTTTTTGAGTTTATTCCGGACATACATACAGACAAAAATTCTAAAAACTATATTTTTGGCTTCGGTATCGATTGCAGATCACACCCCAAGTATTATTTAAAAAAATATTCAATGTACAGTTTTGACTTTCCTACCATTTTATTATATGTATAGATAGGGCAGCGGTAATTACAGGTAGGTCATAAGTATGGGCGTGCTGCCCTTCGCAGCCTGCCTCCCCGTTTTAAGGTATGGCATTGCCCCATAATGCCCACCCTCCCTAGCTACGGCCCTTTAAAGTGCCGGCATTATAAGGAGATACATAATATTTGTAAGAAGTAATCTACAGAACTACTGAACCGATTCCAATTACACTTTAACCAGTATAAAGGGTTACAATGCTGATTACTTAGCGTTTAGTAAGGGCTTTCAAAAATACTTAAAGGCTCAACTTCTTTATCATACAACCTCTTACAAAAGGATGGAAAATTGAAAAGCAAATCTTAAAGAGGGTCGGGGCGGCAGATTTTAAAATACTGTGTCAGAAGATGCATAGACGACAAGTATAAAAATTGTTATGATTGCAATGGAAACTGAAACTTTTATGTAGTGATTAATGAGTTGTGTCTCTTTTTAAATGTAAACATATTTGTATGTATGTATGTAGTGAAGAGCTCGATGGCGTAGGTGGTTAGAGCGTTCTATCTACGATCGTGGAAGTTAAGCCATTTTCGCAATGGCCGGTCATTGGATAAGTGACCAAAAGATTCGGACGCCGTTGATCCTGGCTGCTTTTGCAGTAGTTAGCACCCACCAATCCGCAATGGGCCATACTCCCTATCATCATTGGAAAGGCCTGTACCCCTGGCCTGCAGTGGGGACATTAATAGGCTGATGATGATGATATGTAAAATAACACTACCTTTTGGTTATGTTGTGTTTCTGTCAATGAGTAAGGTTCCAATGATATTTTTGGTATTGCAAGCGTCTAAAGGCTAATGAAACTGAAACTAGCAGCCGACATTCTCGAGACAATTTTTTTTTTCAACTAAAGTATTAGAGTATCTTGGCTGAAATAACACCCACTATTTCTTCACCCTAAAAAGAAGTTCTGGGAAAAATTTCATCAATTTCGTATGTGTAGGAGATGAGATAAAGCTTTTTTAAAAAATAAAAAATCTTTCTCCTGAGAGAAAATATTTTTTTACAACTAAACTATTAGAGTATCTTGGCTGAAATTACTTCCACTATTTCTTCACCCTAAAAAGAAGTATTGAGGAACATTTCAGCACTTTCGTATGTCTAGGAGATGAGATACAGCTTTTTAAACAAAAAAAATATTCTACTGAGAAATTATTTTTTTACAACTAAACTATTAGAGTATCTTGGCAGAAATTACTTCCACTATTTCTTCACCCTAAAAAGAAGTTTTGTGGAAAATTTCAGCATGTTCGTATGTCTAGGAGATGAAATTCAGGTTTTTAAACAAAAAAGAATATTCTCCTGAGAAAATATTTTTTTACTACTAAACTATTAGAGTATCTTGGCTTAAATTACTTCCACTGTTTCTTCACCCTAAAAAGAAGTTTTGAAGAAAATTTCAGCAATATCGTATGTCTAGGAGATGAGATACAGCTTTTTAAACAAAAAAAAATTATTTTCCCGAGAAAATATTTTTTTACAACTAAACTATTAGAGTATCTTGGCTGAAATTACTTCCACTGTTTCTTCACCCTAAAAAGAAGTTTTGAAGAAAATTTCAGCAATATCGTATGTCTAGGAGATGAGATACAGCTTTTTAAACAAAAAAAAATTATTTTCCCGAGAAAATATTTTTTTACAACTAAACTATTAGAGTATCTTGGCTGAAATTACTTCCACTGTTTCTTCACCCTAAAAAGAAGTTTTGAAGAAAATTTCAGCAATTTCATATGTCTAGGAGATGAGATACAGCTTTATAAACAAAAAAAAATATTATCCTGAGAAAATATTTTTTTAAAACTAAACTTTTAGAGTATCTTGGCTGAAATTACTTCCACTGTTTCTTCACCCTAAAAAGAAGTTTTGAAGAAAATTTCAGCAATATCGTATGTCTAGGAGATGAGATACAGCTTTTTAAACAAAAAAAAAATCTGAGAAAATATTTTTTTACAACTAAACTATGAGAGTATCTTGGCTGAAATTACTTCCGGTATTTCTTCACCTTAAAAAGAAGTTTTCAGGAAAATTTCAGCATGTTCGTATGTCTAGGAGACGAGATACAGCTTTTTAAACAAAAAAAAATATTCTCCTAAGAAAATATTTTTTTACTACTAAACTATTAGAGTATCTTGGCTGAAATTACTTCCACTGTTTCTTCACCCTAAAAAGAAGTTTTGAAGAAAATTTCAGCAATTACGTATGTCTAGGAGATGAGATACAGCTTTTTAAACAAAAAAATATTCTCCCGAGAAAATATTTTTTTACAACTAAACTTTTAGAGTATCTTGGCTGAAATTACTTCCACTGTTTCTTCAGCCTAAAAAGAAGTTTTGAAGAAAATTTCAGCAATATCGTATGTCTAGGAGATCAGATACAGCGTTTTAAACAAAAAAAAAATATTCTCCTGAGAAAAAATTTTTTTTGAAACTAAACTTTTAGAGTATCTTGGCTGAAATTACTTCCACTGTTTCTTCACCCTAAAAAGAAGTTTTGAAGAAAATTTCAGCAATATCGTATGTCTAGGAGACGAGATACAGCTTTTTAAACAAAAAAATATTCTCCCGAGAAAAAATTTTTTTACAACTAAACTATTAGAGTATCTTGGCTGAATTTACTTCCACTATTTCTGCACCCTAAAAAAAAGTTTTGAGGAAAATCTCAGCAAGTTCGTATGTCTAGGAGATGAGATACAGCTTTTTAAAAAAAAAAAATATTCTCCCGAGAAAATATTTTTTTACAACTAAACTGTTAGAGTATCTTGGCTGAAATTACTTCCACTATATCTTCACCCTAAAAAGAAGTAGTGAGGAAAATTTCAGCAATATCGTATGTCTAGGAGATGAGATACAGCTTTTTAAACAAAAAAAAATATTCTCCAGAGAAAATATTTTTTTACAACTAAACTATTAGAGTATCTTGGCTGAAATTACTTCCACTATCAGTCAAGATACTCTAATAGTTTAGTTGTAAAAAAATATTTTCTCGGGAGATTTTTTTTTTGTTTAAAAAGCTGTATCTCATCTCCTAGACATACGATATTGCTGAAATTTTCTTCAAAACTTCTTTTTAGGGTGAAGAAACAGTGGAAGTAACTTCAGCCAAGATACTGTAAAAGTTTAGTTTCAAAAAATTTTTTTTCTCAGGAGAATATTTTTTTTCTTTAAAACGCTGTATCTCATCTCCTAGACATATGAACTTGCTGAAATTTTCCTCAAAACTTCTTTTTAGGGTGAAGAAACAGTGGAAGTACTTTCAGCCAAGATACTCTAAAAGTTTAGTTGTAAAAAAATATGTTCTCGGGAGAATATTTTTTTGTTTAAAAAGCTGTATCTTATCTCGTAGACATACGAAATTGCTGAAATTTTCTTCAAAACTTCTTTTTAAGGTGAAAAAACAGTGGAAGTAATTTCAGCCAAGATACTCTAATAGTTTAGTTGTAAAAAAATATTTTCTCGGGAGAATATTTTTTTTTGTTTAAAAAGCTGTATCTCATCTCCTAGACATACGATATTGCTGAAATTTTCTTCAAAACTTCTTTTTAGGTTGAAGAAACAGTGGAAGTAATTTCAGCCAAGATACTCTAAAAGTTTGGTTTTAAAAAAATATTTTCTCAGGAGATTTTTTTTTTATGTTTAAAAAGGTGTATCTCATCTCCTAGACATACGAAATTGCTGAAATTTTCTTCAAAACTTCTTTTTAGGGTGAAGAAATAGTCGAAGTAATTTCAGCCAAGATACTCTAAAAGTTTAGTTGTAAAAAAATATTTTCTTAGGAGAATATTTTTTTTTTGTTTAAAAAGCTGTATCTCGTCTCCTAGACATACGAACATGCTGAAATTTTCCTGAAAACTTCTTTTTAAGGTGAAGAAATACCGGAAGTAATTTCAGCCAAGATACCCTCATAGTTTAGTTGTAAAAAAATATTTTCTCAGATTTTTTTTTGTTTAAAAAGCTGTATCTCATCTCCTAGACATACGATATTGCTGAAATTTTCCTCACTACTTCTTTTTAGGGTGAAGATATAGTGGAAGTAATTTCAGCCAAGATACTCTAACAGTTTAGTTGTAAAAAAATATTTTCTCGGGAGAATATTTTTTTTTGTTTAAAAAGCTGTATCTCATCTCCTAGACATACGAACTTGCTGAGATTTTCCTCAAAACTTCTTTTTAGGGTGAAGAAATAGTGGAAGTAAATTCAGCCAAGATACTCTAATAGTTTAGTTGTAAAAAAATATTTTCTCGGGAGAATATTTTTTTGTTTAAAAAGCTGTATCTCATCTCCTAGACATACGATATTGCTGAAATTTTCTTCAAAACTTCTTTTTAGGGTGAAGAAACAGTGGAAGTAATTTCAGCCAAGATACTCCAAAAATTTAGTTTCAAAAAAATTTTTTTCTCAGGAGATTTTTTTTTTATGTTTAAAAAGGTGTATCTCATCTCCTAGACATACGAAATTGCTGAAATTTTCTTCAAAACTTCTTTTTAGGGTGAAAAAACAGTGCAAGTAATTTCAGCCAAGATACTCTAATAGTTTTGTTGTAAAAAATATTTTCTCGGGAGAATATTTTTTTGTTTATAAAAAGCTGTATCTCATCTCCTAGACATACGATATTGCTGAAATTTTCTTCAAAACTTCTTTTTAGGGTGAAGAAACAGTGGAAGTAATTTCAGCCAAGATACTGTAAAAGTTTAGTTTCAAAAAAAATTTTTTCTCAGGAGAATATTTTTTTTTGTTTAAAATGCTGTATCTCATCTCCTAGACATATGAACTTGCTGAAATTTTCCTCAAAACTTCTTTTTAGGGTGAAGAAACAGTGGAAGTACTTTCAGCCAAGATACTTTAAAAGTTTAGTTGTAAAAAAATATTTTCTCGGGAGAATATTTTTTTGTTTAAAAAGCTGTATCTCATCTCCTAGACATACGAAATTGCTGAAATTTTCTTCAAAACTTCTTTTTAGGGTGAAAAAACAGTGGAAGTTATTTCAGCCAAGATACTCTAATAGTTTAGTTGTAAAAAAATATTTTCTCGGGAGAATATTTTTTTTGTTTAAAAAGCTGTATCTCATCTCCTAGACATACGATATTGCTGAAATTTTCTTCAAAACTTCTTTTTAGGGTGAAGAAACAGTGGAAGTAATTTCAGCCAAGATACTCTAAAAGTTTAGTTGTAAAAAAATATTTTCTCGGGAGAATATTTTTTTGTTTAAAAAGCTGTATCTCATCTCCTAGACATACGAAATTGCTGAAATTTTTTTCAAAACTTCTTTTTAGGGTGAAGAAACAGTGGAAGTAATTTCAGCCAAGATACTCTCATAGTTTAGTTGTAAAAAAATATTTTCTCAGATTTTTTTTTTGTTTAAAAAGCTGTATCTCATCTCCTAGACATACGATATTGCTGAAATTTTCCTCACTACTTCTTTTTAGGGTGAAGATATAGTGGAAGTAATTTTAGCCAAGATACTCTAATAGTTTAGTTGTAAAAAAATATTTTCTCGGGAGAATATTTTTTTTGTTTAAAAAGCTGTATCTCATCCACTAGACATACGAACTTGCTGAGATTTTCCTCAAAACTTCTTTTTAGGGTGAAGAAATAGTGGAAGTAAATTCAGCCAAGATACTCTAATAGTTTAGTTGTAAAAAAATATTTTCTCAGGAGATTTTTTTTTGTTTAAAACGCTGTATCTCATCTCCTAGACATACGAAATTGCTGAAATTTTCTTCAAAACTTCTTTTTAGGGTGAAGAAACAGTGGAAGTAATTTCAGCCAAGATACTCTAATAGTTTAGTTGTAAAAAAAAAATTTCTCGGGAGAATATTTTTTTTTTGTTTAAAAAGCTGTATCTCATCTCCTAGACATACGATATTGCTGAAATTTTCCTCAAAACTTCTTTTTAGGGTGAAGAAATAGTGGAAGTAATTTCAGCCAAGATACTCTAATAGTTTAGTTGTAAAAAAATATTTTCTCTCAGGAGAAAGATTATTTATTTTTAAAAAAAGCTGTATCTCATCTCCTACACATACGAAATTGCTGAAATTTTCCCCAGAACTTCTTTTTAGGGTGAAGAAATAGTGGGTGTAATGTGAGCCAAGATACTCTAATAGTTTAGTTGAAAAAAAAAATTTTTGTCTCAAGAGAATGTCGGCTGCTAGTTTCAGTTTCAACAATTTTTTAAAATTATATTTTTAGCAGAGGAGATAAAGGTACCAAAACTTGTCACGTTAATTTTTAATATTATTTGTAATTTCGCAACGAAAAATTCTAATTTTTATAAAATATAGGGCCCGGACCCTATCTTCTATGTTTCGTCCATGTCGGCTGCTAGCTGGTGGCTGCTAGTTTCAGTTTGATTAAAGGCTATGGTGACTACTTACCCTCAGGCAGGCCATAAGCAAGTGTTACCCTTATATATGCTTCTCACTCTTTCCTATAAATAAAAATACGCAATCACACTCACTGTCCAAAACCTTCTTCTGTCTCTCCGCACTCTTCATCTGTGCTATGTGGCAGGGTGTATCGAAGAGGCCAAACTTGCCGCCGCAGTAGAAACATTGGTCCATGCACAAGCGGCCTGGGTGGATGCTGAATGAAGAAGCCTTCTCCGGAATCACCAGATTCACAGTTTCCTTTGGCTCCGCAGGCTCTGGGACGGCTTCTGGATCTGCTGGTGGGAGTAAAGTTTTGAGGATCAGCAAATGATTTGAATTTGTCACTTCAAAGAATAATAGATTGGTAGTCATCAAATACTCTAACTCATTTCATATTCTATTTAATATACTGTAGTCATTTAATATTATCAAAGAAAAAAGTATTTTTGTAATACTTTGGTATGTGTCTAAGCTGATTAGATGTAGCATACATTGTCAGGAGAATGAAAAAAATTACACTCTTTTTAGGGGATTTCGTTTTTGGTATGACAAGAAGTATTATAATGAAATCAGCAAAATTTCCAAATAATAAAAAATTTAAGAATTGGACTAGTAAATATTCCTAATTCATAAATAGAAACATTTTTTTTAATTTGCTGTGTTAAATTAGGATTTTAGTATTATCATGCTTAACAATTAACCATTAACATGCCTTAAAAAATTAGGTCATAGAAACAGTAAAATGTTCAAAAATTATAAATGAAAATGATGATCTAAATGTATGTGCAAAATGAAGTATTGTTTCTGTGATCTAAATTTTCATACCTTGTACCCAATAATTAGGTCAATAATATAAACCATAAACTTCACGTTGAATGTGCTTATGTAAATTATCAGCACATAATATTTTGGTTAAAATTAATATAAGCAAGTATCAAGCCAAAACCTATGGTAATCAAGTTACAAAAATGTTCTAAGACTCAAAAATTATTGAGAATATGATAAAAAAAGTTAGAACTCAAATGTAGACAGTAAATTTGATGCAAATGTGACTTTGTTATACTGGATTTATAATATTGAATACATAATAAATTTAAATAGATAAGACATAACTCTCCCAGCTTCATCAGTATAATTTTGATGAATCTAATAGGCAGCCATGAATGACATCAAAAGATAAGTAAATAAGTGCATTTTTATAAGATCAAGATTACTACAGACACTAATAAGTAGTTAAAAACTAAAAAAACAATTGGATATTTCACTATGCAGTAAATGTAATTTGTGTCACATTAGCTTCAAAGTTTAGTGTTATGTGTGAGTGCAATGTCCACACACCATGGTTGTTAAGGCGATTACTGTAATGTGACTTTCTGTGCCCACCATCGGTAGTTGCGCCAGCGCCACCCTGCGGACCAAAAATGACACTCAGTATTGTTGCTTTGTTTCTCGCCAGTTCGTCTGCAGGTGACTAAATTAGTTTTGTAATTATAGGTCAATTTATCTGCCAGGTACAAGTGTGAATTTGTAGAATATAAAAATAAAAACGAAATGAATTTGGCCAAGGATTGTTATAAAACAATGTGTTCTTACCTCGCGTCTTTCAATAGTGTAGTAAGCATCATCTTCGTTCGCCTCGCCGCCCTCGGGAGCAGGTTTCCCCGACCTATTCTTGCTTTTCTGAAATGTCATCTTCAAAGAGCTCCGGTATTTCTTCTTGTCTCTGTCTCCTGCGCCTCTGTTCAATTTTATTACAGCTTTCAAACTTCCAGTATGTACCACACTAGGTCCTGACCCAGACTTAGCTTTGTTTTTATATCTCTCTTTTTCTTTCAACTTTTCTATTTTAGCTTCTTTTGCAGCTTTGTGAGTCAACAAACCCAATGTCCTCAGTACATTTTCTTTACGCTTCTGACTCTCAGGAGTTTCTAACAATATATTGCTTGGTCCAGGTAGGCTCTCAATTGAATTACGAGCAGACTTACTACCTCTCCCCACACATTTAACAGTCTTAGCTTCTTCTGGACCTTCAATTACTTTGTTTTCTATTAATGGATCTTTCTTACTTTCTTCAGCGATTTTGTTTGCTTCTTTGGGAGCTGCTGTTTCTTTGATTTCTTCACTTAGTACCTCAGTGACTGAATTTGAATCAATTTCCATTTTTTCTGGTACTTTGCTACTTTCAATAGAAATCAACTCATCTGTAACAGGGACCATCTCTTTACTTACTTCTTCTAAGCTTGGAGAAAGCACATCTTCTTTTACTACCTCAGTTTTATTATTGTCTTGCTTTACAGTATCAGCTATTTGAGCACTTTCAATTTTTGAGATTTCAGTGGTCAAAGATATTTCCTCAGGAATAGCTTTGATATTTTCTATTGGTGGAGGCAAAGCTTCAGGTTCGACGATCTGTGTCACTTCTGATTTCGCAGCAACTGGTGATGGTGTTATTGATATTGCTGGTGATTTAATAGGATGTGGTGGTGATTTTATAGGGTGTGGTGGTGATTTCATTTTCTCAGCCACTGTCTTATCTTCAGGTTCATTTGCTGATTCTGACGACTTTCTTGAAAGCGAATCACTTGACTTACGTTTTGTTAAAATTTCAATATCATTACTACTAATTTTCGGTTCAGTCATAACACGTGGAGTTATAGATATTTGATTGGAGTCTAATACAACACCTCCTAAATTAGGAGTGGGTGTATTAGGATGTAATGTCGCGAACTGGTGTAAATCAATTTGCGGGGCTGAATTAGACTTGTCTACGGTTTTCCTTATTTCAGTTAAGGTTACATCTTTGCCCAGAGACTTCTCAAAAATGCTAATAGCATCAGATTCTTTTGAGTGATTAGAGCTGGTAGACTCTTTTCTAGCACTGAAACTATTTCTTTTGATCAGTGTCACTGAATTTGGAAGTTCAACATCTGTAGACTTCCTTACTTGATCTCTTTTTACTATTGATATAGCTGAATTATTTTCAAAACAGCTTAATACATTCTCTTTTTCAATAGGTCTTTCTGGAGATCTAACAGATTCTATGTCTTTTAGAGGTTTGATATCTGTTCCTGATTTAGTAATTAATACCACATCATTGGTCACCATTACAGATTTTGAGTCAGTAGGTTTGCTCTCAGATTCTTGCCTTTGCCTTCTCTTATCGAATTCTTCAAACTCTTTTAATCTGTCCATTAGTTTATCTATACTAGCTACTGGATTACATTTGTAAGTTATTTCAGAATGTTTATTATTTTCTGTCGATTTTTCAATAGAATCTTCATCATAATGAAGTCTGATATTTTCACTGTCATCAGTCTTAGAAGGTGTATTTTCATTAGACATTATTATAGCATCTTTATCTTTTGTGGGTGTCTCTGGAGTTATAATGCTATTATTATCACATAGTGGTTTAGAGAGACCATATAATTTACTAATATTTTTAGTTTTTGATTCTTCTGTATTATTCTGAATTGTAGGAGTATTGCTGCAATTAGCTAGTTCATGGTCACGGTCAATGTTTTGGTCCAAGTCATTAATTAAATCATCAATTTCCTTAGACAAAGTTTCCAGTGTCTCCTGCTTTTCATCTGAAGTGTCATTTGTAATAGTGCTAGTTATAGGTTTAGGTGTAATGTTTGGGTTCGGCCTCGCAGCAGCTGCTGCTTTTCTTCCTCTTCGTGCTTTTCTAATATTTTTGGACATTTCCTTTGAATTGAATGTCTTGGACATACTAGTCAGTATACTACTTCGGGCATCAAAAAGCGTATCATTTTCAGTCTTCAGTAATAGTTTTTCTTCTATCTCTGATGTATTAAAATTGACTAATTTAAGCCTATTACTATTATTGTTGTCAGAGTCCAATGAAGTACTTCTTTTTAAGCTCAATTTTTTCTTATGTTTTTCATTAGCAATGCAACTGGTCTCTGGATCCATTTTAGTTTCAGTTACATTCGATTCAACATTAAGAGAAGGCACTTTTTCAGTAGTCGAGATCGGTAAATTATTTTCAATATCTATATCTAGTTCAGTCTTAGATTTATCTAATTTTTTCATGAGCTCCTTGTTTTCTGAGTCTAGTAGTGGTTCACTCAAGCTTAAATCAGATTCAGTGACATCTGAACATTTTGAGATCTCACTTCCATCACGGGAACATGATCGTCCTCTTTTGAGTTTTTTGCAGTCCTCAGTAGCATCTGTGGCATCTGTAGTCTTAGAATCTGAAAGCAGTCTCCGTCTCTTATTCTGTTCCTTCATAACTATCTCATTCAGTAAATTGTTCTTTACTTTTCTAGGTTTACCACTTCTTAGATTTTTGCCTTCTGAAAGAAGAGGACTATTACTTCTTTCAGAGCGCATTGAATAAGGACTGGTCCGTGGCCCAAGAACCAGACTGCTTGGGGAGTCGGCAAGTACAGACTTCATCATCATCATGTCTGAAGTAAGTCTTTGTCTTCGTCCAGCTGTCTTAGGGCTTGAAGACCTTGAATTAGGTGTAGTCTCTTCCAGTGGCTCCTTTTTTATTTCAGAGGCAGGTATCAATGGGACGGCTTCTTTTTCTTGAGAATTACCAGGTTCACTTTTGATTGCAGCCTTTCTTGCTCGGGTTACTGTTTGTCTTATAACAGTTTTAACTTTTTCTTTAGTGACAGCAGACTTCTTGCTTCTTAATGCCTTTCTGATACCCAATGGTCGTTTCTTTACTATTGCTTTAGGTTTGGCTACAGGTTTCTTAGTGTCTTTGGATGTCTTGGGCTCATCTTGAGAGAGTTTGATTTTCTCATCTTCAATTATATCTGAAGCTTTCTTACGAGCTCGAGTTTTAGGTTCCACCACAGTATCTTCATCAATACTCTTGTCTGACTCTTCCTTGGTCTGTTTGGTTTTCATATTGGAATGTGAGGCGGGAGATATCCCCGTTCGCTCGACATTAGGTAAAGGCTGCAGTTCAGCTTTTCTTTTTATAATAATCACTGAGAGATAAATGTGTTACTTATAAGAAGATTTGTAATAAAGCTTTGGATTGCTTACAGATATCAGCTAAATAAATTTCTCAGTTGTGATAATGTACTGATATGAAGCTCACTTCAGGGCAATTATCACAGCCTCTGTAATCTTTTAAAGAGCTAGGTACTAATTTAAACTCAATTATTCTCTGATATTTGAGCAGAGGCTATATTCAGACGTAATATACTTCTAAAATATGCCATTTGAACCTGTAAAAAGGACAAAACCATAATAAGTTACTTAATTATTTAATTAGGTATTTCTAACATAGGTACCTGATGAATAATATTAAAAGTGTATAGTAACAAATAACGACGAACTTTTTTGAATAAAGACAGCAAATAAATTAATCCACACTTATGAGGTAAGTCGTCGTTCATATAAATTGAATTCACAATTCGGGATAAACAAATACCACACCATGGTTTTACTCCAAGTTCGCGCACAATTTTGACATTAAATGTACATTGAATTCCGTTTTTAACTTAATATTTAGTGTATCTTTATAGTAGCCTACATAAAACACCAACAAAATATTTGTTTACATTAGTCAATGGCTAGAAAATCCCGCCGGAAAACTCATGAAAAACTCGATGTTTTGGTGTTCTCAACTCGCAAATGACACCTAACGCCACCTACAGCTGAGCGAGTGCGTGTGCGTCGAACGAAAGCACCAAATCATTTCCCTAGCCGTGGCGCACCTCTGCAATGTCCTAACAAAATACTCACAATTTATCCAATGGAATCTCCAAAAACCACAATAAACAGTTAATTGGACACACAATGCACCATAATATGCGAAAAAGTTCAATATAAACACGCGTTTAAACTTAGAAAATGATTTTTGAAAAGCCCAAATGTCTGCAGGCGTCCGCCATAATGTTTCCTTCGAAACGAATAATATAGTTCTTATTGCTCTTGTAGCAATTCGCTCTATTCGCTATTCAAAATGGCGACGGTGTTGCGTTCACGGTGCGCGTTTGCGCGGCTTTTTGCTGGAAAAAGTAAAGGAATTCTGAACAACACAATTGATTCGGGTGCAAAATTCTTTCCGGAATCACAATCGGTAATTATTTTATTATATTAGCACTCGCGTTACATTGTAATGTCGCTTCGTCTGCGACATGTGACAGAACTAAGTCTGTACACCCATTCACTGAAGTTCAGTTTGCGATGTGTTTATTTTATTTAATTTACATCAATGTTACACATTATTAATTTTGTTTCTTAATATTCTTAGTAAAATGTTATAATAGTAGTAAATGTTTTTTTTATAACAAATACAGTAACTAAGCAGAAGTGTAATTTTAGGTTATTTTTTACTTCCTCTCGTATGTGAGGCATGCAAGCCACGTGAACCATTATGCCCTGTCTGTTGTGATGGCTGAATTCAGACAAATAATTAAATATTGTTGTAAGCTTAATAATATTATGTTAATTTGTCCATTATACGTTATTTATATTTTTATATTTGTTACAGATAAATTTTCTGACCAGCCAATATTCAAGTTTTGCTAAATCACCTTTTGTTGACAAAATAACTGAACAGTACAATTATGAAATAACAAAGAATCCCACTGAATGGAAATTTGTGGAACGACTTATGCCATTTAAGACAATACCACAAGTTGTACCAAAAGAGAGTTATCCTAGTGGATGGATACCACCAAAAGAAGAAGCCAGAAAATTACCATATTTTATACCGAGAACAAAGAATTACGCAATCCCAATATATTTGCAACTCTCTTTCAAAGGAAATCGCAAAATTACTCAACTTAAGAAGATAGAAGGTGATATTTGGTTGATGAATGATGACATAAAACATCTTCTAAAAACTAAACATAAGAGATATGTCGAAACACGGGTACACGAAGTAGCAAGATTTATAGAAATAAAAGGTGATTACGTAAATGACATGAAAGAATGGGCGTTTTCTAAAGGTTTCTAATTGTAGAAATGTAGAAGAATAAATGAATGTTCAATATATATATAATACTTTTTTTTTCTAGTAAACTTTTCTTTAGATTTAAACATCTAGCAGTTAAATGCTTAAAAAATAAATAAAAACATAACTATAATACTTTTATTAAAATCCCCAGTGTAGATAAATGTCGACAATAAATAAACAAATATTACTTACACCAAGCCTGCACTGTATACATATTTATATTTTTTTTATGTTGAAAGAGTGGCAAACAAGCGTATGGCCCGCCAGGCGCCTGATGGTAAGTGGCTACCATAGCCCATAGACGCTTGCGATACCAACAATATACCCAGTCCCCTACTTTTCGGAGCCCTGGAACCTTCCTCTCTGAAAGAAACAACACCACCAAAAGGTAGTGTTATTATACTGTGTTCTCCTGTAAGGTGGACGTTACTTCCCTAGACGGGTGATCCCATTCGAGCGGAAAATGCACTCCTCAATTATAATTTATATATAAATGGTTCTTTAAAAAAGTTTCTCATTGTTTTTTCATACTTGTATTACTTACTTATGTTTTTAATAAATTCTATTAAATAATGAATGATAAATATTAGATATCATGAAATAATAAATGTATGTACGGACAACAGCAAGTCAGGTCATTACACTCTGTTGTTGCAGTAACTGATATATAGAATTATGTAATTTATTATTTTTTAAATAGTTCTTACTATATTCAGATTGAGGATTATTAGTGAGTGTGATAGAATTTAATAGAATAACCCAAAAAATGCAGACTTTAAGGCCAAATCACACTGACGCAGGGTCGAAGCGTCGCGACGCGTCGCTTGATTTTCGCCTTGTGAAACCTTAACAGTGGGGAACTAAAGATGAATTTGCTACAGACCAAAAACATGAAACTTGATATTATGAAATCACGATTGTTATGAGTGGGAATACCTTAATAGTTGGAAAATAGAGATTTTTGCCTGTATAATGAGATTTCTTTCATTAAATAATATTTGTGATAAATTGGTAATTAGGTAATAACTAACACTTTAGAGTTTACTTTTATAGATACCAGATATAAAAAAATAATGAAAATAATTTCGTTCAATATGTCAATATAAAAATAATAATACATGTTCTTCGAAAGCTCTTTGGAGCAGTGTACGTACACGGCATGAAGTTGGTTTTGTTCAGACACCGCTAGGGGCGCTGGCGACGGCGGAAGGTTTTATCTACGTAGCTATATAACATCCGCTCGCAGTGCGCTGGGCCTCTTGCGATATGTATTTTCGACTCGACTCGAGTCCACTCCTTTGTTCAAAACAACTTTTCTGTCTTATATACACGATATAATAAACGCTTTGGTATGCTTTTCAGTTTATCCTGTAGAGCAGAATGATGTTTTTATCTTAAAGGTTACTTTTTCTTTGATATTTTCCAAAGTTTCGGATTTATGGTTTATTAAACATATTTAAGTAATTAAGTATTCCACGTTCTATGTTCATGTTTATTAATGCTCATTTGTGCTAATCAGAAATCGATGTTCAAACGTATACAAACGACGACATTACGTAAGATCAGACAAGCATAAAGTACGTACATAATACTTTGTTAGGTAGGTAGGTACCTATAATGAGTTTCAAGGCTAGCGCTTTCAGTAACACGTGTACGTTCTAGATAGTGTCGTAACCGTTATAGGACTTGCGATCAAACAAGCAGGGGTTGATTTTCAATCTCTAACCTTTATTAAATTGACTTTTTGTTGCTTTCATTTTTTTAAAGAGTGAGTAGGTATTCAGAAAACACTAAAGCTTTTGTCTTTATTGTCTGCTTACTTATGTAAGTAGGCGAGTAAGTATATAATGTAAAGATGAGTTTATTTTAAGGGTGGCCTAAACATATGTAACTACGTAAATTAACATTTATTGTTTAAACTTTTTCTAAAAAAACAAATCTTAAAAAAAGAACAACAGTCCTAAGTATTGTTTTCATGTTTCTTTTCAACATGCAGAGAAAAAACAAAGTCATTAAATTTTTTTCTTTTTATATCACTAATAATCCCACCACGCGGGCCTAGTGCGGACTTCAGTCGCCGCCAGGACTAACAGCTTAGCCTGCATTCCAGAGCACGGCGGAGCTTTGGATAAAAAAATTTGATCACCCATCCGGACCTGACCAGCCTACCTGAAAGATGCTTCACTTCCTCGATCACAGACCGAACGCGGTAACCGTTTGCACCATCTATCTCCTATCGATACCATAATAATATTACTGGAAAGAATCCCGAAATATATGATATAATTATTAAGTTTGGTTATTCTACTGAAATGACAACGAGACGTAAACAAAGTGGTAAAATGGTATCAATTAAGTAAGTAGGTAGATATCTACCTACCTTACCATTTTAGTAGTTGTATTTATAATTATTTATATTTTTTGTTGTTTGGTAGGTAAGTTGTTATAATGATTTAAGTATTTTCTCTCTCAGGATAATAACAATATCTCAGGGGTCTTGGTTATGGCTGGCTGGGCTACCTGGTCTGAAGTCATAAACAGAGATACATATTACAATATTTATCAAAGCCTTTTAAAGATTAGTAGATTATTAACCAAAGGGATAAAGCAGTGTCTTCTGTCGCGGGTGACGATTTAAATCGCGAGCGTAGCGAAGGACTCGAGGTTTACTCCCGAGCGTAGCGAGGGTGTTAAAAACTTAAATCACGAGCGAAGCGAGGGATACGAAAAAGTTATTTTTCGTACCACTTGCTCAAGTGACATTCTATGTCACAAAAAGCGAACATAACAATAGTCATTTTTAATCTGTTAAAAACAGGGAAAGAAAATTGTACTGAACTTCATTCACCTCTTGGGGGAGAATGTGATTTAAATTTGGAATACTTACCGAAATTTATACTGAACTACCTCTGTGTTTACACCATTGAGTTTGTATATAGAGCATTATACATCTTTTTGAAAAAGGAATACGCATTTATTGTGCAGTTATGATTATTAAAAAAAAATACGAAAACCGACGAGGCCGTATTTAATTGGATGAATGTTTCGAATGTTAACTTTTACTTTTAATTGTCATTATTTTTAATAAATGCTTATCTCATATTATTATTGTGTTAATTTTTTCGCAAATGGTACGAAAATAGAGTATTTTCCTCGGTGATAAAGCTGTCTTAGTCTTGGGTGAACTTAAATCCCTCGCTACACTTAGGACTCGTCTAAAATCCCTCGCTTCGCTCGTGATTTAAGTTTTTAACACCCTCGCTACGCTCGAGAGTAAACCTCGAGTCCTTCGTTACGCTCGCGATTTAAATCGTCACCCGCGACAAAAGACACTGCTTTATTTATCCCCTTGGTTAATAATCTACTATATCTATATTAATTTTATATTTACATTTTATACGCCAGGTATTATGGCATTAGTTCAGTCTAAGTTACCTATGTATTTATTATCCCTTATCCAAGATCGCAATTAGTAAATGAAGTTAGTATATACCTATAGTTTAGTCACGAATGCCTTTATATGACTTTTACCGCCCCTCGCAGGCTGCCCCAGGCCATGCCTCTTGCCCCAGGTCATGCCTCATGCCCCTAGGGTAATACGCCCCTGCTTATCCGTCGATACACTTTTGTCATCTGTATGAAAAACTTATTAGGTACCTATTTGGTGTTACTTACTCGAAGTAACTTCTACTCGACGATTCTTCTTACTTACACTTCTTTCGCTCATAAACAGTAACATATGTACTTGAACTACTTAACTAGGCACTTTCATATGTACGTAGTTAAGATAAGTATTTTTTTGTGGTAAAAAAATCTTTCCTTTTTTTTAACATATTCTTTTTTAGGGTTCCATACCCAAAGGGTAAAAATGGAACCCTATTGCTATTATTCTGTCGCCTATCCGTATGTCACGTATCTCTAGATCGTAAACGGAATGAGTAACAGAACTGAAATTTTGGTGTTTTATGCAAAATGCTTGTCCAAAGCCGAATATTTAGTTAAAAATTCAATAAAAATATTTTCATGGGGGTCCCGTACATAAAAGGGGGTCAAAATATATTTTATTCTTTTTTACCCCAGCATGTGACATATCATTGTCTAGAGCTCGTCGAGTAGGATATAAATATAATTTATATTACTTTATTTTCAATACCAAAGAAATGGACCGTCAAAGTTGTAATTTTTAATCATTTTTTGTTACGGGGTCTACATCTCAAAATCGAAACAAGTAAGGAATCAGAAGTATCTCTGAAGTCATTTTTCAACTTGATGACTCTGTATATAACAATACAGGGAGAAAAAAACCACCCTTGCTGAGTTTGTTGCCGGTTCTTCTCAGTACAAGGTCTCCCGCCGTAGTTTTTGCAAACCGATGGCGTAGCTTCTTGACCTTCACAAGTGCTTGTAACAGCCTAGACTGAATAAATGATTTTTGATTTTGAATGCGAAATGGTAAATGATGTCGTAAATGCTGTATTTAAACAACAAATACTGGAAACGCCGATTAATAATGCACTTTGTAAGTTGTGACGAATACAAACAAATGATTTTTCCTTTCGCGGTTTGATGTACCGAACCCATCGTGAGTGAGTCCGACTCGCACTTGACCGGCTTTTAAGTCGTCTCGTTGTTACTTTTAATTCTATTATCTCCTCTTTCTTTTGTTACTTTAGTGGTTTCCAGTATGCTTTTGTTCTTTTTAAACACCTTTATAGCTTGAGTTCTTTATTGCTTTATTAAATTATAGCCACGAGTACCTGCGTATTTTAAGCGGGTACTTATGTTAAGTAACACCGATACTGATAAATATCTTAATCATCATCAGCCTATTAATGTCCCCACTGCTGGGGCACAGGCATTCCCTATGGATGGAATAGGGAGATTGAGCCATGACCCACCACGCTGGCCCAGTGCGGATTGGCGGGTGCTAACGATAGCAGTTGCAGCAAAAACTTAACGTGCCTTCCGAAGCACGGAGGAATTCGAGATAGAAGATTTTTGTTCAACCATCTAATGA